AGAGTGACATGGTCAGGGGAGCAGAGAAGGATGGACTGGAGGGTCAGTCATAGTAGACAGACAAGAGGCCAAACGCTCAAAGTATTGAAGAGCAATCATTGTACTTGAGAGCTAAGAAATGACTTGAGTTTCCTTGAGATGCTTGAAGTCAAGTATAGAGAGCAACAGTTTGAAGAGTTGTAGTATGTGGAGGAAGGCACTCACTATGCCTTTTTTGTTTTGTTTTGTTTTTTGGTTTTTATTATTTTGTTTTGTTTTTTTTTACTCCATAATCCATTTTTATTTCCTAATATGCTATGGATCATTTTTTAATATGAAATTTATTGTCAAATTGGCTTCCATACAATAACCAGTGCTCATCCCAATAGATGCCCTCCTCAATGCCCATCACCCACTTTCCCCTCCCTCCCACCCCCCATCAACCCTCAGTTTATTCTCAGTTTTTTTGTTTTTTTGTTTTTTTAATTTTTTTTTCAACGTTTATTTATTTTTGGGACAGAGAGAGACAGAGCATGAACGGGGGAGGGGCAGAGAGAGAGGGAGACACAGAATCGGAAACAGGCTCCAGGCTCTGAGCCATCAGCCCAGAGCCCGACGCGGAGCTCGAACTCCCGGACCGCGAGATCGTGACCTGGCTGAAGTCGGACGCTTAACCGACTGCGCCACCCAGGCGCCCCTATTGTCAGTTTTTAAGAGTCTCTTATGGTTTCCCTCCTTCCCTCTCTGTAACTTTTTTTTCCCCTTCCCCTCCCCCATGGTCTTCTGAAAGTTTCTCAGGATCCGCGTAAGAGTGAAAACATATGGTATCTGTCTTTCTCTGTATGACTTATTTCACTTAGCATAACACTCTCCAGTTCCATCCACGTTGCTACAAAAGGCCATATTTCATTCTTTCTCATTGCCAAGTAGTATTCCATTGTGTATATAAACCACAATTTCTTTATCCATTCATCAGGATGGACATTTAGGCTCTTTCCATAATTTGCCTATTGTTGAAAGCGCTGCTATAAACATCGGGGTACAAGTGCCCCTATGCCTCAGCACTCCTATATCCTTTGGGTAAATTCCTAGCAGTGCTATGGCTGGGTCATAGGGTAGATCTGTTTTTAATTTTTTGTGGAACCTCCACACTGTTTTCCAGAGCGGCTGAACCAGTTTACATTCCCCCCAACAGTGTAAGAGGGTTCCCATTTCTCCACATCCTCGCCAGCATCTATAGTCTCCTGATTTGTTCATTTTAGCCACTCTGACTGGCGTGAGGTGATATCTGAGTGTGGTTTTGATTTTATTTCCCTGATGAGGAGCAACATTGAGCATCTTTTCATGTGCCTGTTGGCCATCTGGATGTCTTCTTTAGAGAAGTGTCTATTCATGTCTTCTGACCATTTCTTCACTGGATTATTTGTTTTTCAGGTGTGGAGTTTGGTGAGTTCTCTATAGATTTTGGATACTAGCCCTTTGTCCGATATGTCATTTGCAAATATCTTTTCCCATTCCATCGGTTGCCTTTTAGTTGTGTTGATTGTTTCCTTTGCAGTGCAGAAGCTTTTTATCTTGATGAGGTCCCAATAGTTCATTTCTGCTTTTAATTCCCTTGCCTTTGGAGATGTGTCAAGTAAGAAATTGCTGCGGTCACTATGCCTTTTAAAAAGAATTCTGGGGGGCGCCTGGGTGGCGCAGTCGGTTAAGCGTCCGACTTCAGCCAGGTCACGATCTCGCGGTCCGGGAGTTCAAGCCCCACGTCAGGCTCTGGGCTGATGGCTCAGAGCCTGGAGCCTGTTTCCAATTCTGTGTCTCCCTCTCTCTCTGCCCCTCCCCCGTTCATGCTCTGTCTCTCTCTGTCCCAAAAATAAATAAACGTTGAAAAAAAATTTTTTTTAAAGAATTCTGGGGCATCTGGCTGGCTCAGTTGCAATAGCATGCAACCCTTGATCTCAAGGTTGTGAGCTCAAGCCCTACACTGGGTGTAGAGATTACTTAAATAAATAAACTCAAAAATTAAAAAAAAAAAAAGAATTCCGTAGAAAAGTCATTCAGAACATGCAGAAGTTTGTAGGAATTTTCCATAATCAAAAGCCGCTATTGATAACAGAAAAATTAATGGTGTGGTCAATTAAAACAAGGTATCCAGAATGTACAAAAGATTCAGAATATAACAGACCAATCCTTAGACAACCTTAATCTTACTAAGAGAAATTGCTCACCATTCTAGATAAAATTGGCCAAGGGAGAAATACAGATTATTATCTTTTATTCAATATAAGGAATATTACTAGTAGAAGTAATATTTTTAAAAACTCAAAACAGCCTGAACTGTTCACCATAAAAGTTTATCAGAGATGAAGCAGTTCTGATTCATAAAAATTTAAGTATAAAAATTAACCCAGAAAAAAGATAATCTCACTAAAAATATGCAGGAGGTAAAACTGAAGTGGCTAACACTCTACACTGTAAAACTTGCTACTGACTAAAATTTGGCAGATGAACCAAACCTTCTTAATACAATTTACACCTTTAAAACTAATACAAACAAATTGGACTTGGTAGAAGTAGTGACCACAGAAGCCTTTGAAAGATGACAGGGATAAACATCTTGATTGGCTGATTAAATCTTTGTCATAAAATTTACATAGGGAAGAATTGGAACCTATGATGATAATTTTAGTAAAACAATACTGAAAATAAATAAATTGAGGAAGGTTTTAGCTGAGATATATGGGAAATTAATCAAGGAACTGTCTTAATGGAATTAACTCTAGAAAATACCTTTCTTATGAAAATTTCACTCATATTGACATGTTTCTGATGAAACTGGGGGGAATCAAACATCATCAGGGTGAAAAAAATAAGTGGGGCCGAAATATCTTTGATCTTCTCACTCCCATGAACTTTAATGGTGAAAGGAAACTCAGTTGGACAGTGTCAGCCTGGCGGTGGTCACCATCAGTGTACCTACACTTCTGACAGTGGCCAAGGATGTCTGAGTGACAAAGAAGGAAAGTGCCTCCCTTCCCAGAAGGCTTTAGCTTTTGATAAATGCTCCATTTATGGACTTATTTGTATCACACCATCTTGTCCCAAACAAGAATGTAAGTCAGCTAAATATATATACATATATATATGTGTGTGTGTGTATATATATATATATATATATATATACACACACACACGTACATATACATATATAAATATATAAAATATATAAATATATAATATAATATATTGTATGTATTATATACGTAATATATAATATATAAATATTATTATATATAAATATATATAATATATAAATATATATATTTAGCTGCCTTACATTCCATATATATGCCACATACACACACACACACACACACACACACACACACACAAGGTAAAATAAAATTTCAAATAAATGAGTGAAGATATCATAGTTTTGAGAACTATTCTGATTTGCCAGTCTAGCAATATGTCAGGCATTCATTGCAGCAGTTTCTTATTCCATGTCTCTGGATCTCTATAAATGGCTTCTTTCTGAGAATGAAATATTGCTTCTTTTTCTTCCCAAATACATCAGTTCTAACTCATCTTTAGATTCATTCAATCCACTGTTCCAGTTTAGTAGTTTTGAAGTAAGCATCTTGCTATGCACTTTTCTTTGGTCTGGACTCCCTTTCCCATCTTATCACCTCTTTGTTTGGATCCTTAACATATGCTTTCTCTGTCCCAGAGATGTCATAAGTCTGTCATGTTTCTTCTTTCTTGAATTGAGTATTTCATCAAGTACTTGGACTTTGATAGGATCCAAGAGACCAGAAATGTCTTTTTCAAATACATAAGAAACAGTTAAGAGGAAAAAAAAATAGTAAAAGATACAATTAATATATTTCATGAGAGAAGCCTTGATACCTTTTTTATTTTTGATAAACCCACTTTAAAAAAGAGGCAGCTGCTGATACAGGGTATCAATGAGGATCGCATGGAAACTAAAATCCTGTAGACAAATCACATCACCTACCTGGTTCTCGTTTTCCCTTGATGTTGTGGTCTGTGTTACGGGGCACATAGAAAATGTGAGTCTCTGCTCTCGGGGTGTATGTGAAGGTCCTGTTACCTTCTCCGTTAGATATTAAACACAAGAACAAGAAACAAACTAAAAATAGATATACCACAGTGTGGAGCAATTACAGAGGTTTTAAAAAGTGCTGCATGTTTTTAAACAGCCTGCCTAATGGATGTCCTAGTAAGCCAGAATGCCCTTAATTGATATTTCTTCTCCATAAATAGTGTAAAACCCATTTATCAAGTGAATGTATGTTGCACTCCTACTCTGTGCCCAGCTCTACGCTAGGTATACAGTAATGAACAGAGACAAGACTGCCCTCATAAGCGTATGTTCTATTGAGACAGGCAGAGAAAGTTCCAAGAGACTCAAAAAGAGAAAGAATCATAAATTGTGATAAGAACCAATAAGACAAAGGATGAAGAGAAAGAAAAAAGAGGGGTTGGTGAGATAAAACCTAGGTGGTAAGATACTTTCTCAAGGAAAGTATCACTTAAGATGAAATATTGCTACTTAAGAGAGGCAACCAGCCAAGAGCCAGAGTGGGAGAGAGTTTTCCAGCAGAGGCAACAGCATGAGCAAAGCGCAGGTCAGGGTGCCTGCTGGTCAGAGAAGGAGTAGAGAAGGCTTGGAGGCCTTGCAGAGCCTGCGAGGGGCTCTGACATCGACGGCAGTGTTTTTTTCCTTGGACAGTCTGAAGCTTGCTCTCTAGGACTGCTGCATGAAGAATAGGTCGAGAGAGGATGCTGCAGAAGCAGGACACCTGTTCAGGCATCAGCACCACATTAAAAATTAAATACAACGTACTTAAGGCCACTGACTGTATGTACCCTTAGAAATGGTTAAAATGGGTGAATTTTAAGTTGCATATATTTTACCCCAATTTGAAAAATTAACATAAACAGGAAACAGGCATTCCCTAAGCACACATTGCTGTTAATACCGTTCCTTCCCATCTCAGACCAACAGGAGCCCCCGGGAGCACCGAGCAGTACAATGTGGGAATGGTCGGCTCGCACGGGCTGGAGACTTCTCACGCAGACACTTTCGGCAGCAGTATTTCAAGAGAAGGAACCTTGATGATAAGAGAGGTAAGTTGGTATAAAAACTGTGAAGAGGAAGTGCTTCCTTCACTGGTATTTATATCAGAGCTTTCGCAGAGAATGCTGGCAGCGTGTATTTTCAGCATAGTGAATGGGGGTGGGCAACCAGAAGAAACACGCGCTTCTAAATGGCTGAGTGATTTCAGTTGTCCACCGCCTTCTTTCCTGTATCCTTCTAAGCTTCCGCAGTGTGACTTAATTACATTAGTCCGAATTCTTCAGTAGGAGCTATGCAAATCAGAGTATAGAATTTGAGCTTGAGGATATAAAACTGGCAAACCCAGATGTTTCCTACGGCAGCGAAACGGGAATGCATGGCTTCACTCAGTAGCATCTGAGACCTTGTTATGCCTCTTTTCCCCATGGCTTTATCCTTGTGGGTTGTATGTATAGAAAATGGTTAGAAGTTCCAAGAAACGGTGATATCATCTTATCTGATTAAACCAACATTAAAAGGCTATTGAGCTATTTTTATTTAAAAAAAAAAAAAAGAAATATGCAGATCTACTTAAAAACGTACCTATTGCTTTGGGTGATTTTGGTTTTTTATCTGTATTTTTATTTTTTTAAGCTCATTTACTTATTGAGAGAGAGAGAGAGAGAGAGAGAGAGAGAAAGCGAGTGGGGGAGGGGCAGAGAGGGGGAGAGAGAGAATCCCAGGCAAGCTCCACATTCAGCGTGGAGCCCGACGTAGGGCTCAGACTCACAAACCATGAGATCATGGCCTGAACCGAAACCAAGTCAGACCCTTAACCGACTGAGCCACCCAGGTACTCCTGATTTTGTGTGTTTAAACTCGAGGAACATCACTTCATTTGAGTGGGAGGCATGTGCTCGCTTCACATGCACTTCCTCACTGCATCTGTGCCAGCCAGAAGGGCCTTGACAAATCAGAATTTGTCTTCTCTTCTTTCACACTTCATCATCACCACGTAAATTTGACAAGTCTCTGCTTGGAAGGAAAACAATAGCTGGTAACATTGGGCAAGAATTACTTGATGTCCCCCCCGGGTCTGTGTTATCCTCTATAAAATTTCGTAAATAATAGCGTATGACTCATAAGATGACCCAAACAACACGAGTGTGAACTGTGTGAATCCACTTATATGTGGGTTTTTTTGAACACAGTCCAATACTATAAATCTATTTTCTCCTCCTTATGATTTTCTTAATAACATTTTCTTTTCTCTAGCTTATTTTATTATAAAAACATAGTGTATAATACATACACAAAATATGTGTGAATCGACTGTTTATGTTATTGATAAGGCTTCCAGTCAACAGTGGGCTATTAGTAGTTAAGCTTTTGGGGAGTAAGAAGTTCTACTCAGATTTTCTTTTTTTTTTTTTTAATTTTTTTTATTAACGTTTATTTATTTTTGAGACAGACAGAGCATGAACGGGGGAGGGTCAGAGAGAGAGGGAGACACAGAATTGGAAGCAGGCTCCAGGCTCTGAGCCGTCAGCCCAGAGTCAGACACTTAACCGACTGAGCCACCCAGGCGCCCCTCTACTCAGATTTTCAACTGCACTGGGGGACCATGCCCCTAACCCCTATGTGTTCAAGGGTCAACTGTAATTTATTTCATTTCACTCTCCTTTTACTTGTTATCCCTTCCTACTCTTGCCTCTGAAACAATGCATATCATCTGTCATTCTACAGCCAGGATAGTTTGGGAAACCATAATAGCAGGCTTTGCTCTCCCAGGAAAGAAAGGAAGTGTAGTTTTGAGATGAATAAGGCCTTTGAAGTAATAATTGGCAGAAGGTCAGTAACTGGAAAAGTAGTTCACAAAGCAACTTGCTAGAATTTCATGATATGGCCCTGCCGAATCTTTGAAGTAGGCTTTGAAGAGCCCTATCCTGTGAGCCTGAAATAAGAAATGGACTTGGCCGCACAAGCTGACATTGTGTAGTGCTGGTATATAAATCTCCCAATGTGGTGAATGGATAATTCTGATGGCAGTATAGAAGGCTGCTGTCATTCTAACTTGCTGCTTGGAAAACCTGAGGGGAAATGTTCTGAGTGAGTGACTCTCTGACTCTGCTTTCTAACGCAGTTTATAATTTGCTAGAGTCGTTATGACAAAGTCAGTACCTTGAAGAGGATATTGGGAGGCGCATTTTCAGTTGAGTTGCCAGACATATCCAAATGGCTCTGTGTTATTTAAAGCACCCCAGTATTCTGTGACCACAGCCAGTCACTTTGAAAATAGCACTCACCAGTGTCTTCTATGAATTTGATATAATAAGGGCCCCAAAACCTTTTTGTCCCTCAGTTTCTAAATGCCACCTTTTCCAAAGGTGGGCTTTTAACATAACAACCTTGAGTTGGAATCATTAAAAGTACAGGTATCACAAAGGCAAATGCAAATAAAAGTATGCCCTTGACAAAAAAATAAGAAAATAAAATGAAAACTCATAATAGAGCTTAGTTTATAGGGTGCTATAGTTCAGTTCCCCAAGATGAACATCAAAGAGAACTCACTCAAGACAGCATTCTCATGGGAGTGGACAAGATGGTTCTAGAGGAAAATACTGGCTCTACTGCCCACAGTCCTGCCAAGACACACAAATTTGCCCTATCAATGCACACCCTGGCCCTCTGGTTCTACCTCCCCCTAACCTATGGTCCCAGAGGACCTTTCCCTACTCTAGTTCTAGAACAAACCACACCAGCTGTCATCTACCACATCGTCTATAGGGACCCATCTGTCAGAAGAGCTATTCTCCCTTCCCAACTTCCCCTGTTGCCCATTCTTCACCCAGCAGATCCCCGTGGGTCTGATTCAGCCTTCCTTTACTCCTTGAAGCCTCTCTTGGGACTCCATGGGCCTCTGTCCATAGCACCTTTCCTACTGACCAGCTGGTAATGGGAAGTGATAGGAAAAAGAATCCACTTAAAACAGGCGTCCACTCGAGCTCCAATCAGCTACGGCCGAGAGCAGAGCCACCTATCATGGCAGCAGCCCAGAGCATCTGGGCTCTCCCAACAGACAGCCCCTGATTTCAGCACTTACAACCTGTGTCACTCGGAGCAAGTCAGCTGACTTCTCTGCACTGCAGTTTTTCCATGTGTAAAGTGAGGATAATGGGAGCTGGCCCGTGGTGGTATTTGAAGGACTGGGGGGAATACCATACCTAAAGGTTGGGCATGGTCCCAGGCACAAGTTGTTACTCAGGGAAATCTTAGTGCCCACCCCCATGGGAACGGTGAGGGCGTGAAGACTGTAGAAATTGTTGGGCTCTGTTACGGAGGTCCTGGAGGGCCAGGCTGTTGTTCATTTATCTCTGTATTCCTAGCAAAGTGCCTGGTACACAGAAGGTATTTAATTCAAAGGAGCTGGTTGAATGGACAAAAGGCCGATGACTCAGAGTGGGGAGATTCAGGGGTCGGTCACCACTGGATTCCTTCAAGCTTCTCACTGTCTGAGCCGTTTCCCTCGTTAGCCTCTTCAGGTCTTTGATAACCAGTGCATCTGCCTCAGCTTTTGGCTCGAGGCAGAATGCTGGGGATAGAATAGAGAGGCCGTAAAACTGTAAAGAGGCCATGTGTGATTTATGCTACTGGGAGATTGGGGGGAAATGTTAAAAAGCCTTTCAGTATTTGAACAGAACTTAGAAGAAAGGAAAAGCTGCCCAGTGCACATAAAATAGGAGACAGTGAGATAAATTAGGACTGGACCCTGTAAATGTCATTGAGAAGACAAAACGTTCGATCCTGAGAACAGGCACTAGTGCAAGCTGTGGATGCATGAAGACTGTGTGGACAAAATGAATCCAGAAAATGCCCCTCTCCTGGGCAGCTTGCAGGCCAGGAGCATGTTGCCAAGAAATAGAGGGAACCGCAGCTTTACAGTTATTTCTTAAGCTCCCCGGTAACATCCGTTACATGCACCCCTTCAGGAACTTGGGAATCTGTTTCATCTCCCCCCAAAATTGCCTCCTTTCACTTCTAGCCAGAAGCAGGTGCAGAGTGGTATTTGTAAGACAAGGACAGGCTCTGGAAGGGGGAAGCCAGGCCAGTGAGCCCAAGCCAGCCAGCCCCAGGGAAGGCAGGGAGTATGTCTACCTGCCTTGATCCTGGCCAATCCCTCCATGTTCAACAAAATGCCTCACACTTAGTAGTCACTCAGGAATGCTGGGTAAATGGATGAAAGAAAGAAAAGGCAAAGAAGGGAATCATTGCTTCATCAGATCTGCTCTAAGAAACCTCAGTGAGCTAGTCACATAAATGTTAAATCAGAAAGCACAATACTGCCCAGGCCTGCAGTGTGGCTACTGGCTTTTAGGAAGCAGAACTGTCTATTAATCCTGTATTTCTTCCCTGGGATCTTTGAGAGGAGGCTTTGTTTCGCAGAGCAGTGGTTTCCAAACTTGTTAGGTCATACAATCCTATCAGTAGTAAAAATTTGAGAGCATGCCACTTAATTGCAGTGTATTTATTTATAACTCATGCATTTGTCCTACTTCTCATATTATATATATATTACAAAATACCTTGAAAAGACGTTAAAAAGGGATGCTATACAAAATAGTTCAAATACTGTTACTGACTATTCCTTGTTAGTCATGACGACTTCCGTTTTTTACTGCAAGGCACCATACTTGCTTGTAAGAGATTCAGTATTCAGATTCAGTAGCAGACACACACCTGTAGCTTCAAATAATCTGTGGTTTATTTCAGTACATTTTTTTTGTAACTCCTGCCCGATCTGGTGAATTAATCATTGTTTTGACCTCATGACTGACAAAGAGCCCTATGATCTGGGCAGATGGCATCTCTGCGTTTTCTTGGCGTACATGGTATGTGGGTTATTAGTATTATCTCATCCCAGCCTCTGTGTTTCAGCAGTATTTTAGGTCATGTATGTGTCTTCGAGGTTCGCATCATTGTAACCTGGTAATATACCTGCAAATCCAGTCAACGGTGCACCCACAGGCACACACACACACACAAATACTGCAGGGGAGAACTGTGCAAATGCAGACCTCAGGAGCTCAGCCCCTCCACCTGCCTTCCCATGGGAACTCCCACTTCCTGTGTGACCCTGACTGCCCTCATGCAGAAGCAAAAGGCCGCAGGGTCAGTCCATATACTAAGCGTGAACAAAGTTTAACTTCTTTTTTATTTTCTTAGTAAAATATAAATGTAAGTGTTATCTTCCGCACACCCCAGCAGGTCCGTTTGGGGACTGTGCCTGTGCTGTGTGAGGGGTGACACCACTCGGTGGCCTTCACCCTCCCTCTCTAATCCCTCTCTGATGCTCCCCATGTGTTGTGCCCCCTCAGACGTCTGGAGAGAAGAAGCGGTCTGGCCACAGTGACAGCAATGGCTTTGCCGGCCACATCAACCTCCCAGACCTGGTGCAGCAGAGCCATTCCCCGGCCGGGACACCAACCGAGGGCCTGGGACGCGTCTCCACCCATCCGCAGGAGATGGAGTCCGGAACTGAGGTAGGTGCTGGGCAACAGGCGTGACGGCTCTGTTCTCCTGGGGGTGCAGGGGGTGTCAAAACCCTGCTGTCTTCAGGAATAAGGCTTTGTAAGCTCCCTGAGATGTGTTGGTTCGGTTGCTATATAACTATTTACACAAATACTTTAATGGACGAAAATCATTGGAAGCTGAGGGGTAAAAAGATCTGATACCATCTGGCCCAATGCCTATTTTTACAAATGACAGTACTGAGGCTCAGAGAGGTTAAGTGACTTGCCCATGGCACACAGCTAGCTGGTGACAGATCTAGGACTAGAACTTGGATTTCCTATCTCCCAGGCCAGTGAGAGAAACTTTAGCCTATAGAGATCCCATGGCCAACGGTTGAGGTTCATGTTTATATTGATTTAGTCAAACTAGGTTTGACTTAAAATGAGGTTGAAATTCTTTGTTAAATGAAAGATAAAAATCAATAGATAGATAGGCTCTCATCCATCTTCTTAAACTCCAAATTGTGTGGGAAAGGGAGAAATGGGATATTTAGCTTGCCTGTATAGAAACAGTCCCTGGAGACAACCTGAATAAATACAGTCTGTTAGGCAGTGCTCATAGGTGTAGTTATCCAAGCCCGACCAGTGGATGAGTTCATGGGGCTTGGTCATGTTTCATGAATCACACGGAGGCCCTGAAGGAAATCATGAAGCATATGCCCTAGTGTTTTTGATGCTGTCCACACATTAACTTTTTATGATACACCCTTTGGATTCTACCTCAAGGGAAAAAAACAGAAGTGCCTTGGGAGGCCGCATATCCTCTTGTGGCTTCCCACAGTGTGGTCAGGTTTCCTCTGCCTGAACATGTCTAACGGAACCTAGAAGAACCCCATGGGATTGGACTCCGGTTCAAATTCTGCTGCTGCTCCAGCTCTAAGTGGGAATGTTAGTACCTGCCCCACCTCCTTCGCAGACTTCTTCTAAAGATCAAAGGAGAGAATGTATGTGAAAGCTCTTCATTTGGAAGGAGTCTTACCTTGTAGAGGGTGAAATCATTTTAATTTCATAAGGTGGAGGGAAAATCAATTGGATCTTTGCGGTTTCCTCCGTACGTGTTTAGGGGTCCTGAGATGTTTTTATTTTTAAATGGAAACCTGAAAATAAAGCTAGAAAGTGAAAACTCAGTTAAAGACATTTGTCTGAAAGGAGATATTCTGATATTGAATGCGGGTCTGTTTGTGATATTAAGAGGACTTGAGCATAGTAGAAGGAATAGAGATGACAGACAAGATGAGGAAGTGGTTATTGTACCTTCTTTGGCAGAGCTGAAATATGGAATTTCACCAGGTGAAGCCCTGATATTTAGTTCGCTGTTCCCTAGTCGAGTCTGCCTTCATGTCTTTATTGAGATTTATTTTTTAAGCAAGCCCTCTGTGCATTGCCTGCAAATCTAGTATCTTCATGAAGTCCCTAAATAAGGCATGAAAATAGGAGTATCCTTTTAAAGCGACCATTCTGGGAGGGAAAAATATTCAATCCCTGGATGAAATTGTCCCTGAATTAAAGATTTTAAGGCTTCTTGAGCCGACACCAAGCCACCTGCATCACCAGGTCAGCTTACAAGGGCCCAAAGGCTCCAAGAGGGAGATTTTGGTGGACCGGATGTTCAGGATGAAATGCTGCTATGTGGGCATGCTTACTTAGTTTATTGTGTCAGCTTTTCTTAAGACCATTTGGTCAATATGCGATTGTTTGTACTTCAAGGGAGAGATAAGCTCTGTCATCACGGTCGTCTTACCATGTGGTCCAAAATATAATTTGCCCCCAGCAACTCTTGCAATCTGACAATTAATGGAGCCCTGCAAAGGCAGAATGGCCAGTGAGTAGCCAGCACCGGGAGAAGCTGGAGAGAGAGGCACACCTTGACTCCAAGGGTCAGAGTGTGAACAAGCTAAATAGATTGAAGAATCTGTAACCATTCTAAAGCCCAAGCAAAGTATTCTTGGCATTGTTCATTCCTGTAGTACTTATCTGTTCTTCTTAATCCTCTTGCCTTTCCATTAGTATGGCATGGGGAGCAGCACGAAGGCCTCCTTCACCCCCTTTGTGGACCCCAGAGTTTACCAGACATCTCCCACCGATGAAGATGAAGAGGATGAAGAATCATCAGCCGCGGGTAAGCGAAACTGCCCAGATGTTTTAGAAACAGCTTCGTTGTCCTTCCTGGTGTGACGTGATAAAGAAATGAATTATTGGTTTAGTACTTAAGCCATTTCCTGCTTAGGCCCTGTCTTAAAGGGAGGTTGGTTTTTTTGTTTGTTTGTTTTGTTTTTATCATTATTATTTTTGTAGGATTTCTAAAACAAATATCTTTGTCTCCCATTTTTTTTTTTTCATCTCTTCTATTTTGCTTCTGGTAGGAACCCAGAGGTATCCAGGGGCCCTGGGAAAAGCTGTTCCTCAGAGATCTCCAAACTTACCACATACTTCTCAAAAGCAATTTCTGGGTACAATGCTGTGCACGCAGTAGACACTTAATCAGTGCGCGTTGGGTTGTGTTGAGCTCTAGGTGTGTGCTTCCTACCGCACAGATCTGGCTGATTTAGAGGAGAGCCTTGCTTTCTGGACTTATGCAGCTCACTAATCATCAGGGAAGGCTTAGGCTAGTCTGTCAGTTGATGATATGGAATTTTAAAAAGTAAATCTTTCCTGCCGTGTTCTATGAGATGGGGGTGGTGTGTATGTATTCTCTAAACTACCCAAGTAGTATCTTTAAGTCTGTTTTACTAATGGTTAAAATCCTGCTTCTGTGAATGACTTATACTGTAGTCTACTAAAAAAAAAAAAAAAAGTATAAAATGTACATAGTTTCAGAGTTTCTGTGCCTTTCCCATAATGCACACTAAACGAGGAGAAATCATAGTGTTTTGAAGCCCCTTCTCCGTACCTCCACTGGTTGTTTTTTAAGATGCCACTGACTTCTCTGATTCTCTTTCTCAAAGCTCTGTTTACTAGCGAACTTCTTAGGCAAGAACAGGCCAAACTCAACGAAGCAAGAAAGATTTCAGTGGTAAATGTAAACCCAACCAACATTCGACCTCACAGCGACACACCAGAAATCAGAAAATACAAGAAACGATTCAATTCAGAAATACTTTGTGCAGCTCTCTGGGGTAAGTTCTTTTTACCACTCGTTAACACATCGACCCTCAAACATTAAAAACCTCTGGAGCTTACTATCCGAAGAGCAATGGTTGAATCAGGGGTGTCGAGTCCTGACTTGAGACCATCTTGGCCTCAGGAGAAATCAAGAGCAATTTTACATGTAGCAAGAACTGATAGGGCCGCCTGGGTGACCCAGTTGGTTAAGCATCAGACTCTTGATTTCGACTCAAGTCATGATCTCACAGTTTGTGGGATCGATCCACATGTCAGGCTCTGCTTGGGATTCTCTCTCTCTCTCTCTCTCTCTCTCTCTCTCTCTCTGTTCCTCTCCCACTCTCGTGCTTGCACACACACTCTCTCTCTCAAAATAAATCAACATGGAAAAAAAAGCTGGTAGCCTAATGCCCAAGATAACAAGATCAGATTCAGAAATGACCTTGACACATAATAGTGATAGCTAAAGTCGGCTGCTGAACCAGCTACCATGTACCACACACTATTTGCCCAGCACTGTGTGATGTGTCCCCCATTCTGCCTTGTATGATCTATGCAATACCCTGCAAGGGGAATTAGATATGACCCCTATTCACAGCGGACAAACCAGCCTAGAATGTTTTAGTGAATTGCTGAAGGCTAGTAGTAGCAAGAGAAAACTGGAAAAGGACAACAGATGATGAACCTTCCCTTTTAGTTCAAAACATCAACCTACGGTTCTTATAAAAAATGGTGCACGGGTTTTAGCTGACCTCAAACTCAGTATAGTTGGGATGAAATTCGGTCAAAGTCCTGGTCTGTGTTACTGCAACCATCACATACAGATGAAGGAAGGACATGACCCATCTGTATCCATCTAAAATACTAGGCCTAGTTTGGGGCACCACAATCTTATAAGGACAAAAGCATTTGAGATGTTTGGGGAAGAAGACGAAGCCTGGAAACCATTTCATGGGAGATGTGATGGAGGGAATAAGGCACTGTCCTCTGGAAAAGAGACAGAAGACAAGATGACCATGTTCGATATTGAATAATTTGTGGACAGAATAGACATGTATGTTACTCAAAAAAATACACGTACAAAAAGCAAGAGAAGTCACAGAGTTACCTATTTGTGAATATAGTTCAGTACACAGTGGACCCTCAGTGTGTTGGGGTGTGTGTGTGTGTGTGTGTGTGTGTGTGTGTGTGGTGTGTTACAGGGGCAGGTGGGAGTTACTTTGTCTACGGATGAATTTTTAGGATGCCAACTATCCAGACAAGACCACTTACCTGCTAGAGCTTTTCTAATAGGGATGATTGCATGGGAGACAGGCTGGGCTAGGTTTAGATACCTGAGTGGTCCCTTACAGCCAATCTTTCTGCAGCTCTCAGGCTCTTAACACCTCACTTGCATTGGTTTGTCATTTCCCTGACAGACAGCAGAACCTTGAGGGCATGAGACATTCGTAAGCTTTTGTGTGAGAAGGAGGAAGGGCTTTTCTTCCAGTGGGGTATGGAAATGGGGCCCTCTGCTGTATGGTGAAGGTGGGCAGGCTAGAGATCACTGCGTGGACGGGGGTGGGGGGGCTGCACCTTGGAGAAGTCTTGAGGTGGGATTTATAGAAAGAGCCCAGAAAGGGATGGGTGTTACAGGAAAGGAATAAAGGTAATAATGCTAGTGTCACAGCTGTGACCAGAGCATCTCTTAAGAAGGACCCTATACTAGGTAGTAAATGGCCAAATGTAATGAATGCTGTTACCACTTTATGAAAGAGAAGTAATTTCCTTGCCAGAGGGGCAGTGATATAATTACTATGGCAGGGCTTCCACTTCTTCACTCCCTCCTGGGGTACCTACTTGCCCATTAGTTTTTATTAACAAGGCACAGTTTCTCAGGTTTTACAGGGACCCCAGATGTTAAAGCAATAAAAAGTCAGTCTTGGGGTGCTTCTTATATTTGCAGGTGTAAACCTCCTGGTGGGAACGGAAAATGGCCTGATGCTTTTGGACCGAAGCGGGCAAGGCAAAGTCTATAATCTGATCAACCGGAGGCGATTTCAGCAGATGGACGTGCTAGAAGGGCTGAATGTCCTGGTGACGATATCAGGTATGTTACTGGGATGTCACCGGAATGACCAAGTCCTCTGAGTCTGCACAGGTAGGAAAGGCCATCCCCTCGGTTCTGAAAAAAACAGTAAGCTCTGCCCTTCCCAGCTAACAGTGACATAAGAAATTATAGCAGGATAGCCAGAGAGATCACTCAGGTTTTGTAACTCCGGAGATACTGACCTCCAAAGGGAAGCCTCACACCTCTGGACGATCTCTGAATCAAGGAGAAGTACCACAAAGGCTGTATGTTTATAGGCCTTTAACCTCTGCCAGGGCTCAGCAAGGATCTTTTGAAGATCTGAGCTCCAGTCATTGCTACCTACTCTCAGGTGGAGAATATCAAAATGTAGGCTTCTCAGGGTGGGAAATTTTATAAGCAGAAATGTCTCTGGTCTCTTTTCTCTCAAGAACTGTTCTAGCTTATATTCCACTGATGCCAGCAAATGCAGCTGGCCCATTGGGTGATTGAGTCTGCAAAGAGATTCAGATGTGGGAATCATTCCTGCTACACTCTGCAGCTTTCTGGTTCCCAAAAAGAACTCAAAAAAATAAAAAAAGCCTACACAAAAGTGAAGTTAAAAATGTAACAAGTTAACCTTTTGACAAGGTTAAAAATGTAACCTCAAGGAGCCTGTATTTATTGAAAGCTCCTTCTGATGATCTTTGAAGAAGTTTAATCAATATCCCTTTTCCCCTGCCTTCCCATCCCACCCAGTATGAAACCACTGCACCTCTGTGCATTAGAACCACTTGAATGGATGGGAGAAGCCCACACCAGTGGGGTCAGAATGCCTGGGAGAAGGGCCCAGGTATCAATAGCTTTCATAGTTCCTAAGTTGTTTCTAATGCGCCGCGAAGTTTGAGAACCAGGGCTCTATACTCAGCCATCATTTCACAAAGAGAAGACACAGGGCTACTGGGTTCAACCTTGAATAAAGTTTAACTCTTGAGCTGTATTTCCATTTTGAAAAACTACCTTCACTTGATGCTACAATTCCCTCTTTCTTTTGCCATTCCACAAAAGTTTCATCTCTTTTTATTCTCTCCAAATAAGAGTTAACTGAGTAAATTGTTCTTGTATTATCATTCGAGTTTAATTCAATGTAGTCTTTTGTTCTTGCTAATGGCTTTCTTGACTGCTACACCAGCAAATCAAATTTAAAACCGTACAACTGTCACTCACCTACCGAAAGTGGAAATGATACCAGAAAGTTCACATTCTGGCTTCATTATGTTGTTAGTGACGTATCCCCGTTCTTAAAAAACGTAACCGTCTCCTCTTATCATGAAGTGTAGATGGGGAAAGTGGAAAACGAAAATAGGAGCAAATGATTCTTGACCTGCCCTCCGATCTGCATTGGCACAGAAAGGAGGAAGCACTGGCCTTTCTGCCCATCCTAGCTGTTGGGATCAATTCTGGGCCTCTGTCTATAAAAAGGAATAGCAACTGCACAGTAACTTCCTTCATTTATGAATGCACTCTCCTGTCAAATCCAGTGTGTAATGCTTCAATACATTTTCTTCTTCTGGAACTCCTGGGCAGCTTAGTCTGTTAAGCGTCTGACTCTTAATTTCGGCTCAGGTCACGAACTCAAGGTTCATGAGATCGAACCCAGCATTGAGCTCTGTGCTGATATCACAGAGTCTGCTTGGGATTCTCTCTCTCTCTCTCTATCTCTCTCTCTTTCTGCCCCTCCCGTACTCATGCACACAGGCTCGCTCGCTCTCTCAAAATAAATAAATACACTTAAAAAATAAAAATAATAGATAAATAAATTTTGGGGGCGCCTGGGTGGCTCAGTAGGTTGAGCAGTAGACTTAGGCTCAGGTCATGACCTCACAGTTCGTGAATTTGAACCCTGCGTCGGGCTCACTGCTTTCATCATGGAGCCTGCTTCTGATCCTCTGCCTGCCTCTCTCTCTGCCCCTCCCCCAATTCTCTTTCTTAAAAATAAATATTTTTTCTAAAAAGTTAAAAAAATAAATGTTCTTCTTCGTATATATATCACATCTGTAAAATATAAAACATCTTTTGATGCCTAAGAGAAATCAAGGGAAAATAAGTACCCAAGAAGTAGAGCCCACAGGCCTAAATGTCTGATCACTTAGGAAGAGCCTCCCCAAGGCACGTGTTCTTATCTGGTAATCAGATGATCTCATAGGGTATATTAAATTTTGCTCCTTGTGTACCCCTCAACATTTTTAAGATGTTTTCTTATCACAGAATTCCTTACCCCAGGAGCGCTTTACCAACGGGAATGTTGTATTTTCCAAGTACACATCTCATTCTCTCCTATTTTTGTTTAGTAAGTGATCTCAGAATCATAAACGTGTCCAGGGTTATCTTGTGAGCCCAGGTCGCCTTCATTAATTGTTTCTCTTGTCTCTGTATACAATTCTTTTGTTGTTGTTGTTAGGTAAAATAAAACTACCACCAGCTGTCATCTTTAAAGTAATAGAGGAGGCGAATAAGAAGCTCTCCGTTAACATATGTTGTTAGGTTAGAAGGTGAGGGAAAGAAGGTTATGTGCAGTCACACATAAGCATAGTAAAATGTCCAGTTATCAACGCTCCTTCGTGTAATTAGATCTAGAATGTTCTGGAACTCTGATCAACTATTCTGTTACACAGTTAGGTCTTGACACTGCCCTTTGCATTGAGAAGAGAGAGTAAGAGCAGCTTGCTCAGATAAGAAACAACCTGAAGGTAAAGAAAAATTATAAAATGGTTATTTGTCCAAAACACTTGGAGGTGTTTTAATCATAAGTCTTGGCATAGGCAACTCATGACGATGCTGGGGACACTGGTTATTGTGCCTTTACACCATACACAATTGTAAATAAAATAAATGAATTAAATAAAATAGAGATGGGGAAGGACTGAGAGAAAATGCTGTCATAGGGGTGTGAAATTAGAGCTCTGTTATTTCAACAGGAAAAAAGAATAAGCTACGAGTTTACTATCTTTCATGGCTAAGAAACAGAATACTGCACAACGACCCAGAAGTAGAAAAGAAACAAGGCTGGATCACAGTTGGGGACTTGGAAGGCTGCATACATTACAAAGTTGGTAAGTGTCAAGACGTGGACTTGTTTCCTCAATCAGAATCATTCCATTTTTTTCCAGTCAGGTATTGATGATGCATTTGTTACCAGTTTAAGATGTTGTTGGAACTTAAGGTATACTTGCATTATTTCCAAAAACATCAGATTGATCAAGTTCAAAGAGTACATTCAGAATAAAGTCCTGTGCTCCAGTTTGAACATTTATGTCCACTCCCTTCCAAATACTCATTAAAATAACAGTGAAGGAATAAAAATGCCATAAACCCACAAGGACACGGGACCGGAAGAAGAGAGACCAGCAAACAGGAGATATCAGCAGAATCGAACAAGAACAGTTGAATGACGAGGACCTAACCTAGATGACCAGGAAATGCTGAAGTCTACATCTGCAGTGAGGAACAGCATCAACATCAATCCAACCACATAACAGAACCCAGGAAGGCCCAGGGTCTGAGGCCCCAGGTGTATCTGAGATAGAGGTGGAAGGAGGAACTGCAAATAGGATTGTTGGATGGGTGATGACCACAAGTCCTCCGCCACTGCAACAGAGGATGAGAAGTTGCCACAACCAATCTGAACTGTGGAAATACAGCATTGCCAGGAAAGACAGACAGATACACACGCACGCACGCACACAGATGCACCCCTTCTAGCCCTGTTTAGCTCCCAAAATGTTGGCGACCATACTTATATTCCCAAGCAACAGTCTGAAAGATTTGTTTTTGGAGAAACTAAAGAGCCGGAAAGAAAAGATGTTCAGGTACTAACATTTGAAGTGCCATGAAAAAGCTTGCTATCTAACCACCCACACATGAAGCCTGGCAGTGAGTAAGCCCACTACCTGACGTGGGGACATCCGCTAACAGGAAGGAAAATTAAACAGAAAGAAAGGACGGTAGACAAAACAAAGATAATGGGGAGTGAAAAAAATTTTAAAGAAACTTTAATAACCTCGGGGAAATTAGAAAAACTCTTTCCAGAACAGAAGCATAAGGATCATTAAACAGAACATTGGAGCAGGGTCAGGGGAGGTCATTCAGAGACCAAGAAAAAATCTTAGAGATTAAAATATGCTGGTAGGGATAAAAAGTGTAAGAAATGTATCGGAAGATAAAGATGAGAGGTCTCCTAGAAAGCAGGACATAAAGAACGGGCAAGAAAAGGTAAGAAAGTAAAAGGATCAATCCAAGTGCTTCAAAATCTAAGTAACATGAGTTTTAAGAAAAAGAAAAGAAATGGAAAGGGAGGAAAGTATCAAAAAAGAAATATAAGAAAATTTCTAGAATAAGGACCTGAAATCCCAAATTTAAAAGATTCACATAAGGGCACCTGGGTGGCTCAGTTGGTCAACCATCTGCCTTCAGCTCAGATCATGATCTCACAGTTTGTGAGTTCAAGCCCCACGTCAGGCTGTGTGCTGACAGCTCAGAGCCTGGAGCCTGATTCAGATTCTGTGTCTCCCTCTATCTCTGCCTCTCCCCTGCTCAAGCAACTCACTCTCTCTCTTGCTCTCTATCTCTCTCTCCCTCTCTCTCTCAAAATTAAATAAACATTAAAAAAAATTTTTTTAAAGGATTCACTGAGTACCTGGTATAGTGAATGAAAAAAAAATATTCACAGGAAGATATATTAACATGGCATTTTAGTACCCAGGAAATGAGGAGGTCCTTAAAGCTTCCAGATTATAATTAAAAAATAAATAGTTTATATATAATAGGCACAGAATTAGGTGACTTGAGATTTAGCAGCAATACTAGAAGATGGAACAAAGCCTTCAACTAGTATTTTATAAACCATCTGTATTAAATAAGGTTCTCCAGAGAAACAGAACTAATAGGATACACACGTACACACACGTGTGTATATATATATATATGTATATATATAAAGAGGTATATAAACATATATACACAATTATGTATGTGTGTATATATGTGTATATGTGTGTGTGTATATATGTGTGTGTGTATATATGTGTATATGTGTGTGTATATATATATACATATATATATATATATATAGACAGAGAGAGAGAGAGAGGTTTATTATAAGAAATTGCCTCGGGGCGCCTGGGTGGCGCAGTCGGTTAAGCGTCCGACTTCAGCCAGGTCACGATCTCGCAGTCCATGAGTTCGAGCCCCGCGTCGGGCTCTGGGCTGATGGCTCAGAGCCTGGAACCTGTTTCCGATTCTGTGTCTCCCTCTCTCTCTGCCCCTCCCCCGTTCATGCTCTGTCTCTCTCTGTCCCAAAAATAAATAAACGTTGAAAAAAAAAATTAAAAAAAAAAAAAAAAGAAATTGCCTCACACAATTATGGAGGCTGGGAAGTCCCAAGATCTGTAGTCAGCAATCTGGAGACCCAGGAGAGCCAGTGTTTAAATCCCAATCTGAAGTCTGGAAAAGACCAGTTTCCCAACTCAATAGTCAGACAGGAGGTGTCCTGTCACTCAATCTTTTTATTCTATTGAGGTCTGTAATTGATTGGATGAGGCGCATCCATATTGGGAGAGCAGCCTGGTTTACACAGTGTACCCACTCAGATGTTAATATGATTCAGAAAAACCCTCACAGACACACTCAGAACAATGTTTGGCCAAATATCCGGGTACTTTGTGGCCAGTCAGGTTGACACATAGAACTTAACCACCCTGTCATCAAACTACCAGTCAATTTTGAATGTTGCATGAAGACACCTTCAGATGTGCAGGTTCTCCAAACATTTATGTTCCATACCCTATTTCTCAGGAAACTACTGACCGATGCGTTCCACCAAAATAAAGGAATAAACCTAGGAATCCAGGTAAAAGGTGAAGAAAATACCCAGAATGAGGGGGAAAGAAATTTAGATGACAACTCTACAGAGGCCTAGAGAGAAGTCAGTGCAAGCAGAGTAGAACAAGGAGCATTCCAAAAGGGATGCCTCCAGGAAAAATAAAATGTGACTAATAGATTCCCTGCCATGTTTGACTGTGCCGAAGGCCTTTACAGTACCAGCAGAAAGTCTACGTGGTCAGAGATAGATACATAGACAATAAGGAAGTGGGAAAAAAATGACGGAAAACCAAAAAGGAAATGTGGTTGTGGCATACTATTATGTGTTAGCTGTGAACAATAATAATTTCAACATGGGATCTTGATTTCACCAAAAATTTAAAATATAATTGTATCACAGGTGTGGGTGAGGAAGAAATGTGTGTGTTTGAGAGAGAGAAGTGCAGAGAGGAGACAGTTGTAATCAGCTAAATCCTTTCCATACTCTCAAGTCGATAGATAATATCTATAATGAAAAAAATCAGTAAAATTATAAACATGTTATTTAGAAATATGGAAATAAGTGGCTGAAGAAGTAGTTGAAAGTATATTAAAGACAGAATTTGTAAACAGAAGGGAGAGCTCAGAGAGCAAGAATTAAGTTCGTTGCCCTGGGCTGTCCAGTTTCTTTAGGACACAAGTATTCTGTTCATCCAGGTATTCAATAAAGTAAATAACTGCCGAGAGTACTGTGTTAGCCTATTCAGGTTGCTACCGCAGAATACCATGAACAATAAGAGTCTATTTCTCACAATTCTGGAGTCTGGGAAGTCCAAGAGCAAGGTGCTGGTAGACTCAGGGTCTGGTGAGGGCCTGCTTCCTCATTCATAGACAGCTGTCTTTTCGCCACAACCTCATGTAGTGTCTGGAGAGAAGGATCTTTCTAGGGCCTTTTTTATAAAGGCACTCATCACTTATAAATTCCTAATAATTGGAATTCAAATTTGAATAATAAGCAAATGGCACACTTTATGTCTCTACCCACTTGCTAATTTTTCTACCATTTGGCCATACCAGCTCTCAGCATCTTCCGTGTGGGTGACTATGAAAGCCAGGCAAGGGAACAGAAAGGCTATTAGGCAGATTCTTCTTACAATGAGTAATTCACATCTAGACCTAGTGATTAAAGAGAGTCCTAAGCCTTCAGATGAAGAGCTTTCAGTGTAAAGCCAAAGACCCCAAGCATCTGCAGACGGAGTACTTTAAAGAAAGTTCAGGGGCACCTGGGTGGCTCAGTTGGTTGAGTGTCCGACTTCAGCTCAGGTCATGATCTCGCAGTTCATGAGTTCGAGTCCCACATGAGGCTCTGTGCTGACAGCTTGCTCAGAGCCTGGAGCCTGCTTCAGATTCTGTGTCTCCCCCTCTCTCTGCCCCTCCCATGCTTAGGCTCACTCGCTCGCTCTCTCTCTCTCTCTCAATAATAAATAAATGCTAAAAAAAAATTTTTTTTAAAGAAAAAAATAAAGAAAGTTCAACCTGTATCTATGAGCAGATCTCACACCAAGAGCATCACCCTCAATTATAATGTATACTCCCATATCGTGGCTTACGCAGTCAGTAATGCAAAAACCTGAATAAGTTGATATACTCTTTTAATTCATAGTTTTTCTATTACAGTTAAATATGAAAGGATTAAATTCCTAGTGATTGCCTTAAAGAATGCTGTGGAGATATATGCTTGGGCTCCGAAACCATATCATAAGTTCATGGCATTTAAGGTAAGTGGGCATGTGATTATCTAAAGAAGGGATTTTTTAGATTTTGGGTTCCTACCAGTTAACAAAGTGATCTGTCTCACACATCGACCAGTTCCAATTTTTCTATATATAATAAACCCCTTTTAAAAGTATAGGAACTCGGGGCACCTGGGTGGCGCAGTCGGTTAAGCGTCCGACTTCAACCAGGTCACGGTCTCGCGGTCCGTGAGTTCGAGCCCCGCGTCGGGCTCTGGGCTGATGGCTCAGAGCCTGGAGCCTGTTTCCGATTCTGTGTCTCCCTCTCTCTCTGCCCCTCGCCTGTTCATGCTCTGTCTCTCTCTGTCCCAAAAATAAATAAACGTTGAAAAAAAATTAAAAAAAAAAAAGTATAGGAACTCATATAGATTTATTATTCCAAAAGCAAAGACTAAGCACCAATCAATGCTATAAAGTTAGTCAAATTAAAATTAACTGGGAGGTGGGGGGATAGATGAAAGGGGAAAAAATTGGGGTGTGCCCTCCCTCATTTCAGGTCTATAAATCATCATCTCCTAGGGACATTTAGTATGGGATGGTTACTGAGCAAAGCATTAGTTGTGATATTAGGCAATGAACTTCATTATTAAGCCACCTAACTAGGGTGCTCTCTGATATGTCATCTGAAAAAGGCAGACCAATGGCAGCACCAAATCTCAAGGATGAACCATGTCTCCAAATCTTCTCATCCTTATAAGCCTTTTGGGGTAAAATCCCTAAAACTCACATAATGAGCATATATCCCCAATGTTACCGGACTTCTCTGAAATGAATACTGAATGTGGTTACATACAAATGGCTTGGTTTCTCTGCATTCTGCTTTTTCGTTTTTGACCTTGTCTGAGTCTGTACCCACCATGGTTGGATCAATCTTCATGACACTCAGCAAGGGTGTGACGAGGATATGCTAGCGTCGTGGACCCCAGCTCGTGAAAGCTGACCCCCCCCCCAGATGCTGGAAGGACCAGTACTTGCTAGCACTCTGGTGTTTACAGAGCTGCAGAGTCTATCCACAGCCCACGTGAATTAATCTTCTGCTCCTTGTCTCTGTCTGCCTGTGTCTCTCACTTTCTTTATAGCACATTGGCCCTCACTTTTTCTCCCCATCCTTGTGACTGTTGTCTCCCGTTGACCCTTTATGTACTCTTTCTTGCCACTTATGCCATGTAAGGGCAGAAGCTGCCTTGGAAACGTTAGGAGGCGCCCTTTGGGGAAGAATCACCCCACTCCTGTCCTGTTCCGTTAGTGCAAGGGGCTCGTTTGCGAGGTGCTCAGGAAGGCAGATACATCAAAGGAAATAGGCTCCCCTCCACTTTCATGGAGAGAAATTTTTGGAATGTATTAAGTTAGTAATAACACTTAAGGGATAACTCCTAACTAAGCCAGAGCAATGCTGCTGTTCTGCCAAAATCTCTGTCCGTGAACGCTTTTCAGTCAAAGTTCCCATTCCCAGTCAGGTTGGGAAGTTACTGCTGTCGGTTTACCAGCCAAAATGCCACCTGTGGCACCCAGCCCGTAAGGAGGCCAGTGCAAAGACAAGCACTGGAGCAGGGAGGACTGGAGCTGGCAGGAGATGAGGCCAGGGCCTCCCCTAGTCAGAGACTCCTTTAGCAAAAGATGAAGAAAGGGCGCTCCGTTTGGGTGGCGATGGCCATATAGCTAAGGCACTTGTGGTTTCACAAAGTCTCTCCCAGATATCAAGACCCAATAAAGGTCGGCTGTGCAGGAATAACGGCAAAAGAAAACAGAGGAAAGCTTGACAGCTTGTTGGGGCTTGGGCTCTGGATTCAAACACATGGGACCTTGATGAACTTGGCTGGAGCTCTCTTTTTTCCTTCCTAGTTAAGCCCAACTAGCCAACGTAAGTCATGAGTCTTATGATGTTCCAGCCTCCCCTGCCTTCTCTATTGCCCAAATCCAAGTCTCAGATGTCAACAGTAAGTTTAAAGAAGGTGCCAGTCTGATGCTCACTCACTCACTGAGGGAAAACCAGAACCAGAGCATGCCCGTTAATCCTCAACAGACTAGGCACAGAGCTGCCCAGCTGTCTACCCCAGGCTATCTCTGAAAGGGTAACGGCCGTGCCTGGGCCCGGCTGTTCCATGGGGAGAAAAGGAGTCAGAGAGAAGTGACTGTACCTTCCCCAGAGGGAAAAGGCCAGAAATAAACAGGAAGAAACAGCAGCACCCAGATGCCAAGTTTTAAAGTATAATGACACTATCAGAACTGACAACGGTAAACCACTTCTCTGCCCTAGAGGACAAGGGGTAGAGAAGGGGGCACAAAAGGATGCTAGACCCTTCCTCCTAGAGCCAGAATATGAATAGACCTAAAGCTGAAAGAGAGATCTCCGGGACTTTCAGTGTAAGAAAATCAGATATTAACTTCCACCAGGCTGTGGCTAAAAGAAAAAAATTTTCAGATAACCTCTTTGAACGATGTGGACACTCATGGGGTGCTTTTTAAAGTCTTTTGCAGATCTCCAGCACAAGCCACTGCTTGTTGATCTCACGGTAGAAGAAGGTCAAAGATTAAAGGTTATTTTTGGTTCACACACTGGTTTCCATGTAATTGATGTTGATTCAGGAAACTCTTATGATATCTACATCCCATCTCATGTAAGTTCCTGGGAGCCCGCTATCCAGGTTCTGTGTACAACAACATGCATGCGGAAAGAGATTTGCTCTTGCAAATTTTTAGCGGAAGCCCTGCTAATTTTTACTAATCGGTTAAGCAGATAGACTTTTAGCCTCCACTAAATAGACAATGCTTTCAATACACAAAACATGCGAATTTAATTTTTGTGACTGCTTGAAACTGAGTAACACACAACAGCACTTCTTTGCCATGTATTAGACATGTCGTCTCGTTGGACTTTAGATGAAAATGCATATGATATTTTTCCTTCAGGGGCATAAATTGTGTTTTTGAAGCAAAAGTGTAGTAGATGAGTTCCTATTTTCAGTTTTTGAAGGGAGATGGGCTCATTTTACATGGGAAGTCAGTGGCCCCTTTGTGCTGTCTTTGTTGCTCTCTTCAACTTGTGGGGAGCGTCGTATAGAAGAATCAGACACTGGAGTGCATCCCCGGCATTAGCATGTACTCATTGTGCAGTAATGGGCACATTAGACAGTCCCTCCAAGCCTTGACTTCCGTATCTGTAAAACGGGGATTAAAGGACCTATTCCAGAGGGTTATCGTCAGCATTAAATGAGGCAATACCTCTAAGGTACTTGCCATAAGCCCCTGCAAATTGTAGTATTAATATTGCAATACTGACACATTGCCCCAAACCTGACTTTTAAACAGAAATGCCGCACATGGTTCCACTTATTAGGATTGGTGCGGTGCAAGTTGTGTTTCCTGTATGTAATCCCAAGGCTAACGTACCGTAGACGCTGTCAGGAAAGTCTGAGGCCTGATCTGTTGCTGATTGGTATTTTGAGACTTTAAAGACTTTACTGCAAAGAAGCACAACAATTGAAAAAAGTTGTTTCAGTGCCTAACGCGCACACACTGCCTCACACACACGCACGCAGCGTTCATTGCTGTGTCAGAGCTTTTCACACAGGTATGTGCAAACGCACACAGGACTCACGGCTCATGTTCTCAGTGAGGTGACTGGGGCCTCACTGTGAGCATCCTTGATCCTCTCATCTACCCAGCCAGTCAACTACTGGACCACCATGACATCTCGGCTCGGGGAAATTTTTTTTCTAAACAAGCCATTAATTTGCATTACGTAGGCACCCAGAAAAACATTCTGTGTTGTATGCTCATAGCCTATTTGTAGGCGTCTGTTTGGGTCCCACCCTTTGACCCCATTTAGGCTGTTCCCATGAGATTCAGTTGATTTTCATTCCCCTCATCTTTTTTAGAAGTAGATGGAAAACACATGAGTTTTAATGTCCATGAGACAGGAGCTCAAATCCCAATTCTACCACCAAATATCCGTGCAACTACGATCAATTTACATAACCCCTCTGATATGCAGGTGCCTCATCCAAAAAGATATCTACCACGGGGAGCTGTCCTAAGGACTAGGAATTATGCATGTAAAGAGCCTACTATGTGCTTGGCACATAGTAGGTGTTCCATAGTTGTCGTCGTTCGTTTTAGGAACAAGTGAATTGGATTCTCAACCTAGTGCCTAAGTTTGTATTTGTATGCTGGGGTATCTGACAGATCAGTGGTTAAATTAAGCAAAGCAGGGCAAAATGCCAGTCTCTAGAATGAAAATGGGGGTGGGGGAGGGATCCTTTTGTACAATTCTTAGAGATTAATAGTCAAGGTGCTGTCTTATTTTTTAAAAAGAATAATACCTGGCCTTTCTTTGTCTCCTAGATTCAGGGCAATATCACTCCTCATGCCATTGTCATCTTGCCTAAAACAGATGGAATGGAAATGCTTGTTTGCTATGAGGATGAGGGGGTGTATGTAAACACCTATGGCCGGATAACTAAGGATGTGGTGCTCCAATGGGGAGAAATGCCCACGTCTGTGGGTAGGTTAACCATTCCTTATCTCCTTCAGCAGTTACACCCCCCAAATGAAACGAAAGTCAAGAAATGTGAAACAACCATTTGATCCCACAAAAAAAAAAAAAAAAAAAAAAAAAAAAGTCTGTGAATAACACTTGTAAGACTTGCTTTGTCTGTTTATCTCAAGTCGTTTGTCATTTTTGTGGTTAAGATGTGAACAGATGCTGTGAGTTATTGCCCATCTAATGTTTTTAATGCAGTTTTGGAAATTCCTTTTGACAGCCTACATTCATTCCAATCAGATAATGGGCTGGGGCGAGAAAGCTATTGAGATCCGGTCAGTGGAAACAGGACATTTGGATGGAGTATTTATGCATAAGCGAGCTCAAAGGTTAAAGTTTCTATGTGAAAGAAATGATAAGGTAAATCCGTTTCAACATTTGCATTAGTGTTTGCATTTTAAGAGACCACCAGGTACCTGTGAAACCTTCATTTTCCTTTATACTGATTTGAATCACATCTGTGTTAAACAATCAATATTATCTTCAAATGGCATTATTTGGTTTGACTCACGTGAACCCTCAAAATATAGTATTCACATATTAAAAAAGACATTAAAACTTTCAAAAATTTCTTGTAAACCCGTAGTAACTTTTGTGGCCCACAGGCCTTGCGATGACTCAGCAGACATCCCAAATTCTCCCAAGCACTTGGGAGGCTTGGCCCATCGTTAATCATTCACACAGGGTCAGCTTCACACTCCACTTTTAGACTTGTCACAAAGTCACCATGGGAACCTAACCCATCACATTATTTCCACTTTTAAATGTAAAACATTGGACATATAGAAATATAAACTTTCAAAAATTGTCACCCATTCCTTAACAAATGCACCATCACAAACTCAACTAGTGCCATGTCCTGTGTCATTCCAGCCATGTTTCTTCCAAAGTGTCATAGGGGGACTGTTTTGCAGTGAAATTGGTGGGGTCCGTCTGGCATGATCAGTGGCCTCAGAAGGGTATTCTTCAGCAACACTGCTTCTCCTTTGCCCTCCGTGTAGGCCAACCCAGAGTGTTTAGTGTTAGTAGCTAAGCTGTGCTCATTTGTGAATTCATCCTTTGTGACTATGGCCAACTTAGAAATGCTGTCCCCCAAACAGCAGGAATAAACACTTGTAGTAAAAGAATGTGATGGGTTGAACAGATGTACATCTCTTGGTCCGCCCTAGCACGCCAGAGGCCGGATTGGTCTTAGTCCAACCCTGGGAGTGTGAGTCTAGACTATATCCAACCCTGGCCAACTACTCTGACCTGGTGTGGTCTGGATAGACAGTAGCTGTGGGTGGCACGGATGGTTCCAGGGCCTTACCAGAGTATGCCAGGAAGCAGACCTGACCCCTGGCAAAACTCCAGCCCAATCCAGTCTCTGGGGATCATAAGACTAGGAGTGATCTGGGCATAGACCACCACACTCCAGTTCATAGAAGACCCACCCCAGCAAGCCGATTTCAAGCCATGCCCATGCCCTCAGGAGCCGGCTGAGACCACACCAGTATCTGGGGCCCAAGGTTTAGAGCCAAGGGTGCACACAACCTGGAGAGAACAGCAGCCCTTTCTTTCCCCCATTGTGTTTCCATGGGTCCTCTGTACTTCCACATTTTGATTCATTGACCCTAACGGTAGCTGTACTTACATACGTAGCTTTAGCTGAATGCTAAGCATTTCCACAGAACTTTGTAAGAAGTCGTTGTTGGGAGAGACAACATTCTTCTGAAGGAGTTGTGGAAATGAGGCAGCAGAGACTTTACACTAGTGACAAAAGTAAATGCCTTGGACCAAAGTTTGGCGTTGGCTGATTGAAGGGCTAGGCCACAGCCCAGAATAGTATTTAGCTCGGGCAGTGGTTCACTGACATTCAAGCAAGCAATAACCCAAATTTTGCTCACTTCTCTTAGTTGTTTGATAAAATGATTTCACAGACCCAGACCTAATGGACTGTGGTTCTACTAATGCCATTATCTCCTTTGCCCTAGGATATGCCTGCACCAGCTGACAAGCCAAGAGTTAACTTTTGGCATACCAAATGAATAGGCATTAAACACCTTATCCTATCTGATGACATAATTTTTTTTGTAACTTTAAAAATTGAGAACTGAGGTTGTATAGTAGTCAGTAGACCCCAAAATTCCGCCCCCCCCCCCCACTGGCTTTGGGAATTTGAAAAGATTCTCTTCAGTCCCAAAGTCTGCCCTCTTGTCAGTATGGGAGAAAGCCTCTATGGCTTTCCAGAAATTAACAAAAGACCTGTTGTGTCCTAGGCCAGAAGTCTAGCACATTCCCTAGCACGAAACTCCCTTTTAAAACATAAGCATCCTGGGGGATGTCGCAAATCAATATATAGCCCCTCCCATGTTCCCAAAGGCCAATACCACAATAAGTAATAGTAACAATCATAGTAATAAAGTCAGGAGTGTTGACAGAGGATGCACTGTATTAAAAGGCACTTTATAAACACCAGCCATTGAGTCTTAAGAGCTGACACATGACAAGGATAGGACATGTGAGAGAAAATGGATGGACGGTTGAAGAAAAGAGGAAAAGAAACCATGCAGTTGAACTAACTTCTTTTTAATTTCAAACAGGTATTTTTTGCATCCGTGCGATCTGGAGGAAGTAGCCAAGTGTTTTTCATGACCCTCAACAGAAATTCCATGATGAACTGGTAACAGAAGAGCACTTGGCACTTATCTTCATGGCGTTATTTCTAATTAAAAAGAACATAACTCATGTGGACTTATGCCAGTCTAGAGGCAGAATCAGAAGGCTTGGTTGAACATCCCGCTTTCCCCTTTTCCTCTCTCTCCGCCCGTCCCAGTACAGCCCACAGTCCATCTTTCAGTGTTGCAGCCTGGTTGAGAAGGAGAGAAAAAGGTGGCAGGAATTTCCAGGAGATCCCCAAGAATGCTGCGTTGTCTGTGGACAGAGATGGACCATGGTGCCCTTCGGAGTTAGGGATAGAAACAAATATTGTGTGCTCTTATGATTCAGCTGTGTTATGGTGGATTTTGAGTTTTGTTTTGTTTTGTTTTGTTACCTTTTTTCTTTACCCCCTTACTTTGTAAGAATGGGGAGAGAATGCATACCGAGAAAACGAGTCTGTTTTTTAATTCCTTCTGCCTGCTAGCTTTAAGTATACGAGATGTTGTAAAATTTCCAATTTCAAATGGTGAGAGACAGCACAATAAATGTACCTTATCTCCTTACACTGAAGGCCATAATTGCATAGTGGGGTAATTTTAGAACTCTTTTGCCTTCACCAACCCAAAAGGTTGCTTTTTGATAGCAACTGGCTAATGAATTTTTAAGAGAAGAAAAATACTAGTTTTCTCCTCTTTGGGGAAATAGATTTTAAATGGCTAAACTACTAGCCTTAGACTAATAAAATCAACTACCATTTTTGTGAGTCTGACAGGCCCTGTTTTTATATGGCCCTGTACAGAATGGAATGTGTGGAACGGGATAGTAGTGCCATTGAGTCGAGTTGGCTCTAACGATTGAGGGACTCCGTAACACAACTTTCCCTCAGCTATTATGCAACAGATCAGGGCAAAAGATGGGATGACTGTTGGGGTCAGACAAAAAGAGCTTCTGGGAAACAAGCTAAAAAAATGTATGTATATATATATATGTATATACACACACATATATATACATATATATATACACATTCTTTTTTTTAATGCATAAAGCCTCCAGCTAAGAGGTCACTTGCTTTGGGCTTCATTAGGAAGGGAGACTTTGTCGAGTTCTTTCTGGGAATTGGGGAGTGAATGACATCCAAGCCCTGGTCATTCCCAGCTTTCTCCTGAGGGTGCCACTTTCTGAAAATGAAAACTATGACTGAAAAAAAATAATAACAATAAATGTTTCTGAGCTGCCTGTGTTCTCTCTGGGTTGGTGAGAGAAGGGACAAGACTACCAAGCCTGCCTGAGACACAGCGGGCACCATTGGTTCAGAGTTGATAGAACTTAAAAACAAGGCTTTGGCCAAATTTCTGAGACCCTAATCATTTTACCTTCCTCCAAATTACCCAACATACGGTAAACAACATTTGTGCAGAGATATGTATGTATTTAGTTCAGGTTGACTTGTGTCCTTATAAACTCTTACTCGGATGATTTGAACTTTTATGTGACTGTCTGGGTTTTTTTTTTTCCAAAGCTACAAGCATGGCCGCCTGTGGTATCGAGGTGTTGCAAAACGATCTGTGTTGCGCTTCCTGTTTTAACCTACCTCGTTTTGTTTGTTTTGTTTCACTGTTCATCACAGCAGTGTTATCTCCAGGAGACATATAGAGAGCTCAACTGGCAATCTCAGGTGTATTTAATATTTTTTTAAACAAAACAGTAGTTGACCAAATTATTCTTCTGGAAAAATAAAAAAAAAAAAAATCCAACAACAACAAAAACAAATGTGGCTTATTTCTGAAGAAAACAATTAATGTAAACAGATTTTCTTTTTAAAGTCTGTGATCCTACTGATTTTGCCTAAATACATTAGCAGCTGATGTACTATTAATGAGAACGAAATACACGTTAGGAAAATGGAGCCATCTCAATCTGGTGGTTTAGGCAAACAGGGTAAGGGCATGGGGAATTATTCCAGTTTCTGAAGTAAATGATTCTTCCCCTCCTGTAAAGGTGGTTATCATTTGCATTTATTCTAAACAGGTAACACACAAGAATGGAATTGAGGATCATCTTCAGGTGATCACCAAGATGTCCTCACCATGGTCCCTTTAGCTCTCAAAAGCAATGAAATCCCCCCTGTTCTCATTTTTACTGCTGTGGTTCTGCTGCTGAACAATCTATCTTCACAAATTCCACGCAACAAATTCAGCAATAACTTTGTGGATTGAATTTAACAACTACTGTAATTGGATGCCAACGTGGACAAAATATATTGATTTGGGTCTCACCCCCAAATGCGATTGCCACCAGCTCTTTATATTGCTGCTGTGGTATTTTGAACCAGAAGCTTCTTTAAATTATGTTGCAAACTGATCTTTGTTTTTATGTTATGTTTTGTTTTTATTTCTAAGTGATGAGTTTGAAACACACAGCTTTAAATGATTTTTTTATTGTGGGATTTTGGGTACAGTTAAGAAATAAAAGGGAATCATTGTGTTTAAACATAAGGTAGTTTGTGAATGTATTTTTTAAAATCTAGAGTCATTGAAACAAAAACTCATAAAACAATATTAATGCAGTCTTGTTTACAGTATGTACAGTGACATAACATAGAACATGAGCTTTTTCTGGTGCCAACAACAATAAAACACAGACGTTAAACATCAAGCCATGCCTTCTATATTTGTGTACAAATATTTTACACTGAGTACAAGGCAAAACTAAATTTAAAAGGTCCCCTACCAAAGCTGTGTTGCTTAACAGACACCTAAATCACTCCTGGAAGCTTTTACCTTCAAGAATATATTTTCTTCCATCAGGACAGGCCATAGCCCTGACCCGTGGATACCCAGTGTGCCATGCGGAGTATTTCAGACTATTGTTCTCATGGCTCATAATAATCCTCAGCTTTCTGGTTTGTTTTCTTCCCCCCGCCCCCCCCACCTCCTATTTTGCCCCATTTTTCCCCCTTTCTTTTTTCTTTTTTTTTTTGGGGGGGGGTGGATTGTGCTTTTCATTCATGTTAATTCCATTTTAATAAAAATTTCTTTACTTTTGAAACCAGTTAGTTTCCGTTTTTAGTTTTAGTTCTTCCCATGGGGGATTTTGTCAGTAGAATTGGCTAATTTTATTTTTATTTTACAAAGAGAAACTGAGCCTTCCCCCCAAAGTAAGTTTCACTAGATCTTTTTGGTTCTTGTTGCTCTAAATTGATAATCATGCATAAATCCACTGGGCCTGCCCGTGTCATAGTCTTGACCCAGGTTCTAGCAGGTGGCCATCATTCTAGGGTGCCAGTCCGGGGAACCGTAGCATGGATTCCTGCTTCCAGTGGGTGGTAGAAACAGATGACCACTAGGGTCTCAGTTCAAATGGTGAGAGTCCTCCCAAGGCCAGCTGCACTCTGACCACTGCCAGTGCACACAAGATAAATGAAGACAGCTTGCACCAAGTTCCACACAAAATTTATGGTTCTGTTTATATACACCTCATGATTTTTCTTGAAGACTTTTAAACGATGCTTCAAGACCCAGAGCTGCTTCACCAGTATAGATGATGGCACAGATGAAATCCCACAAGGCCACTTGGACAGTAATTCCATTTTTCTTAACACAATGGCATCGCTTTCTAAGGTACACTTCTTACATACTTGGCATCCAGCACATGTTTTTCCAAAGCATCTCCGTTCCTGGTTGTCAAGACCTACTAACAGTTTTCTGTCTGCTCTTGTGACTCATCGGTAATTGGTGTCTCTGGTCCCTCATGTGCAGTAGATTAGAAAGAGATGCGAGATTCAGGTCAGAGCCCTTTTGGTTTTGTCCGTTGCCAGACAAAGAAGTGCCTGAAGCCTGACCTCCCATTCCATGAAGTTAAAAAAAAATTTTTTTTCTCTACTATTATGTGTACCAGTTCCCGTCACTGTATTCTTGAAATGTGAAAGAGCTCTTTGTGTTACTAGTGTGTGCTGTCTTTGAAAGTCCGCTTGAACAGGCATCACTTGCATTTGTGCTGATTGCTTTAAGATGGAAGATGTGCCACATTATTTTTAGGAAAGAAAATAAAACTCTTTAACCCAATGGAGGAGAACAGAATATCCACAATACACTGATAACAATCCTGAATCATCTTATCAAGCCCCTGATATTCCAAAATCCTTTTCTGAAAGTATGTTCTGGCCATCTCAACAGTTTCTGTGAATTATTAATTACCTTTTAATTCATGCCTCACAAATTTCAATCTCACCAAATCAAACAAAGCACAACAAACCAATCTATAACTGGCTTCTCCCTTGAAACTACGTAGTTACAACATAAAACCCAAAAGTCTAAATGTGATTTCACTTACCAGCCAATATTTCTCAAATGCCACTACATTTTGGCTCTGATCAGCATCGTGGCATCAGAAGTCCAAAGGTGTGCTGTGCTTTCATGGGTCTCAAAACGGTATAAACTGAGCTCTTTTCAGAAGCCTCAGCAAAGAAGAAAATCCCATAAGAACTTTCAGGTTCAAAACCGACCATTTGTACATTTCTACTAAGCATTTTCTAGTATTGTTTGATTTTCATGCCGTCTCATTCTTGTGGGAATTTTTCCACAGACGACTAGAATATTTTTTAAAAATTGCAGTGTTAAACAGTATGAGACCATAACTCTCTGCTGTGAACTTTATCCTTCCAGGCCTGCCATTTCAGGAAGTGCCCAAATGCACCAAAACTAGAATCGCCATAAAAGCATTTTTTGAAACAAAAATCCCTGGATATGTTTTTGAGATATTTTAAATCTGGATCAAAATCTTAGACTCTGTGTCCGTGAGGCCAAACATTTGGATGAAGACTGAAAACACACACACACACACACAGTTAAAAATAGAAATGTTCTAAAGATTACAGATTTGGGGCTTTGTGTAGATACCTTCAAACTAACTCACCTTGCATGACAGGGTTTGGTGTCCATGGTTTGGGTTTATCATCACCGCGTTGCATTGTGCTATTGAGGCAGAGCAAAGGCTCGTGGAGAGGTGAGTCTTCACTTGCCCGCAATGGTTCGTTATTTACATGACAACTATCCATGCCCCAGCTGCCCCTTCCTCTCAGTCTCTTCCCCTGGGGTTACTGTTAAGGAATAGTAATATTGTATTATGCTTTGTTTTAAAACCTTAGTTATGACCCTGAATCAGAATTTCAAATGTCAGGTGACAGCAAGAAATCACAGCAGGGGGAAAAAAAAAATGACAGCTTGGTTGAACTTTAAAATTGGATGTTATGAAACTATTTGGGGGCGTTGTAGCGGTCTCATTTACAATGTCACCATAACCGTAGAGATGCCAGATTTACAGGATTGGGAAGGGAGACTATCATTTTGCTGGGCCTACAAATGTCTACATGGTTTAAATCTCCGGTTTTCTAAAGTGTTTTAAATTGTCAAAAATATGCTGGAACTGGGTAAGTCTCACCTGTGTTGGGGTAAAAAAGAAAGTATTCTTGGTGTATTTTCTAGTCTGAACCTTTGGGTTGCTTTCCAGCATTTCTTTTCCTACATACAAAAAGCCTTCAGTTTGTTGTCTCTAGTTGTTCTGAGCAGTATTTAGAAATGATCTGGTAGATTCTAAGCCAGGGTTTTCCCATAGAGTCAATGCCACGCCTTGGAATATATTATATGATCACTGTCAAAATGTGAGTAATAAAACATTAATAGTAGTGGGATGCCTGCTTGTCCCTCATTGCCCCTTCCGGACTGTGACCCATCCCTCATAAGCACCAGGTGCTTTGACGCTCTTGCCATCAACCTACAAAGTCCCTATTTACCTTCCTTCACTCCCTCTCATTGCTTAAGTATTTTCAGGTTTGGCTCACCGTCACTGTCTCCAACTTTTGGAGATTCAATATCCACTTAGACAATCCTATAAATACCCTGGTTTCTCTGCTTCCTGGTCTTGTGTCGTGAAACACATGACCACTCTACCGCCTCCTTAATTCATAGCAGGCAGCTCCTCGTATTTGCTCTGGGTCGGTCCCCTCCAACCTCACCAAATAAAGGTCACTGCCCACAGAACTCCCTCCCTTTCCTGCATCGCCATTTTCCCCCAACCTATTGGAGGATTTCACTACATTCATGCTGCTACCTCTTGTCTTATAAAACACCTTGGCCCCCTTAACCCTGTCGAACCACCGTCTTATTTATCTGCTCCCCGTCACAGAAAAACTCCTCAGAGGGAATTATGTAAACTTACTGTCTTCAGTCCTCTTGTCCTTTGGTCTCTTGAACCAAATTAAATCAGGCTCTCGTCCCCACGGGAGTAGCTATTGCTAAGAAAAATGTATCTCCATGCTGTCAGCTGCAAAGGTTAGGTCTCTGGCTTCATGCTTTTGACTTCTCTGCAGTCTTTAACACAGTTAATAACACCTTCTTTCCTGAAATACTTTCTCAGCTCTGGAATATCCCTCATGTTCTCTCATGCCTCTGGCCACTGCTTCTTGGTCTCCTTTGCCAAGTCCTTGGAGTGCCCAGCACTGGTCTATTTCCGGTGGTGGGGCTCTAGACACCATCAGTGCACTGAAACACCCACATTTCCAACTCCAGCCCTCACCTCCTTCCTGAATGCCAGAGGTCTGTGTCTAACTTGCTACTTGATATCTTCATCTGGGTCTGTAGTTGCCATCTCCAACTCAACATGTCCAAAACTCACCTCATGTGCACCCCACCCACTAATCTGCTCCCCGTACAGTATGTTCTGTGTCAGTAAACAACTCCATTCTTCCAGACTGGAAAGTTGTATAGTTGCCCTTAAATTTTCTCCTTCACATACCACATACAATCCATTGGGGGGAGGGGAATATATAGTTTTTCCTAGCTTCAGAATGTATCCACAATCCATGGATATAGGAGTCCATGCCACATCTTGCCTGGGATGACATAAAACATGTACAGGTGCTGCCACTTTTCTGCTCGTGTCTGTAATGCCTTTCCACCTCCCTCAAAGTGGCAGTGTCCTTCCAATAGTGCTAAAGCCCCTAATAAATCTGATGCACCCTTTGCCCCATCTCCAACCACTGCTACCACTTCTCTGACCTCACCTCTTTCCCTAGTTCATTTGCTCCACCACCCTGCCCTTGCTTTATCCAGAACACCCTCAGAGCGTGCTCTTGTCTCAGGATCTTTGTCCTGGCTGCTGCTTCTGTCTGGAAACCTCTTCCCCCACACCTCTGCGTGATTTGCCCCTCCTTTCCTTTAGGTCCCTGCACAAATACTCCTTTACTGTCAGAGACCTATGTAATCTCTAATCGCCCACTCATTTTCGGCCCTATTGCTTTTCACAGCACTTATCAGTATCTGCCTTGTTCATTGGCCTATCTCCAGTGCTTTGAAGAATAGCTAGCTGACAAACAGTACACGTATTTATTGGATGAATTAATGAGTGAATGAAAGTAAACAATAACAGAGTTTGGGAATCAAAAAAGGCTATAGAACTATATGGTCATTTTCATTTCAGTATCAGAACAAAAAGCTATGTCCAAAGCTTATATCATAAAAGGATCGGTTTGCTTTCATGTCGAAAATAGAAAACCCCATGGATTTTCTTTCCTGGAAGGCTATTGTAGATGGAAACCACTATGATCCTGGCTGTACTGTCTTTTTCCATTACTCATCTTAACAGACCAAGTCGCAGGC